TGTCCCCCCTGCTTCTGTTCCAGAGAGTCCCTTTTATAGGGATTGATCAGAAGAGTTTCTGATCAATCCCTATTCCTTTTTGGACGGGAATTCAATCTTTGAATCTAATCTAAATTCTGATTGAATCCCCATTTTTGGTAAGATTCTTCAACAGGATTCAATCATAGCCTTCCAAAATAAAAATCAGATAAAAAAATTTAATAGATAATTAGAAAAATAATAATAAGATAAAATCAACAATAATATTATAAGATAAATAAAAAATAATAATAACAGATAAATAAATATATAATTAGATAAATAAAAATACATATAAAATAAAATGAAAAAGAAAAAAAAGGAAAAAAAATATATATATATATATTAATAAATAGTAATAATAAACAAATAATAAATACATAGGATATAAAGGAAAATATATACATAAAATATAAAATAAAAATAAAATAAAAAATAACAAAAATGTAAAACAAAATTGGGCTTACCCATTTGGACCAGGCCCAATTGATCCGGGCCTGGACCAAATTAGGTGTCTACATATGATAGTGTCATTGTATGCTTGAAATTGCATAAAATCCTCTTAGATGTTGATTTAGCTGAATGTCATTGGGAAATAGGATATGTAAACTTTATCTCTTGGCAAAATGGTAGTAGTGTAGGGTTAATAGGGTTTCGGTCACCATCTCCATTGTATGGTCAAAATTACAACTTGAATGCTTGAATGCATGGATTGCATAAACATCACATTCCATGGTCTTAACACTAGAAATCACAAAAACAACCTTACCAATATCTAATTCCATCAAATTTTAAAACTTGTACCTATTTTAACATGTAAAATCACTATAAATTTAGGTGCTATCATAGCCCCACACTTAAGTTTTTGCATGTCTTCAAGCAAAATTCTTAAATCAACAAAACTAAACATCATTATATAAACTCATAAAGTCAAAATTTCATAAACTTTCATTCATGTTCTATCACAAAATACAAAGTTAATTATAAACATAGATTCACAAGAAATTCCTTCAAAAAACAAGCTTTCAATATCTTATAATCTCCATACATATGAACTTACTCCATCTTCAATTCATACACATAACTTAAGCAAAAAGAATGTAAAACATTTCATCATATTTCAACTTAAAGATAGAAAAAAACTTCATATATTCACTTTTCCTTTCCCTTTTCATTAATGGTAAACTTACATATTTAACTAAAGATCACAAGGTTTTTCAAGCTTGTAATGTAAGGCTTGGGTTAAGGTAGGAAAAAAGAAATTTTTAGGCTCAATAATCCTTAACTTACTTTTTTGAAATTCTCTTGGACTCATGATTTTGAAAATTTGAGAACTTTTAAAACTTTTTCAAGACTCTGAGGCATCACTTTATTTCAACATTTTTTTTACTAAGTCATTTTAAGTTTTATTAAGGTTTGCCTTGCTTTTCTTTTGCTTTTATCGGTTTTTTTTTTCCTTTTTTACATTCCTTATGCCTTTGTTCCTCCCAAATAAATGATAATGTCTAAAACATGCAAGCACATTGGGTTTAGGTAATAATAAAAAGGGATAATATTTAAACAAAAGGCTTTGGCTTATTATTGTGCTAAAATAATCAAAGAAAAGGATAATTTATAAAAGGCTCAAAATTAAGGGTATTAGGGAAGCATAATTAAATGTGGGCTTGAAAAATACTCAAATGGTCTAAAAAAATGCCTAGATATTTCTTAAGTCAAATACAATCTAGGATTTTACCTCGTGGGTTGAATATGGAATTCTAAAGCAATATTCATTTTCTCAAATCTACATGTAACTCAACATCTCAAAAAATTCTTTACAAGAATTACTGCATTTCATAGAAAGAAATAAAGACATATGCCTAAAAGCCATATCCAAAGAAAAACTTATTTAAGAATTTATTCCATTGCTTCACCATAGTCATAACTATCCTTATATCATACTCAAGTTAATCTTGAAAAGTTCATGCAAATTAACTAAGCCTGCATAATAATGAAATCTAGTATTCTAATTTAGTTGCAAAAATTTTCCAAAAACCAAATAAATTCAAAAAGCATGTTTAGAAAGCTTTTTTTGCCCCACACTTACTTTAAACAATAAAACAAATTTATTAAGCATCTAGGAAAAATAATACTCCCTCAAAATTTTGCTTGAAGGCCAAATCATCTTTTGTATAAGGCATCTCCTTGCATTCCTTTAATCCTTACAAAACTCAAAAACACAAAAATGAATCAAAGCATACTTGTCCTAATAAAGAAAACAAAAATAATTAAAGTAAACTTGACCATCCCTAAATTTGTTGCTTCAGTTAAATGCATAACCTTTTCGAATTATTTTATAGCTACCCCTTGATAAATCTTCAATCGATGTTTATTGACCTTAAAAGATCGCTTGTCTTCCACACCCATGACTTTCATGGCTTTATAAGGAAAAACTTGAGTCATGACAAAAGGTCCACTCCATCTTGATTTCAATCTACCCAAAAACAATTTAAATCATGAATCAAATAGCAATACTTTTTAACCAAGCTCAAAGTTTTTTTCCATGATCATTTTATCATACCATTTCTTCAATTTTTCTTTATAAGCTTGGCATTTTCATAAGCTCACAATCTAAATTCATCCAACTCATTTAATTGTAGCATCCTCCTTTTACCATCCAACTTCTTATCAAGGTTCATATTCTTTATGGCCTAATGAGCCTAATGTTCCAACTCTATAGGTAGATGACAAGCTTTCGCATAGACTAGTTGGTATAGAGACATAGCTAAAGGAATTTGAATGTGGTTCTATATGCCCATAAAAAATTATTTAATTTAGCATCCTAAGCTTTTTTAGATAGATTAACAATTTTTTGAAGAATCCTTTTAATCTTCCTATTGGAAACTTCAGCTGGGCCATTAGTTTGCAGGTGGTATGCAGTAGCTATCCTATGGGTCACTCTGTATTTAGCTTATAGTTTTCAAAAATTTTATTATAGAAATGGGTGCTTTTATCACTTATGATGGCCTTAGGTATATCAAACCTTAAGAAAATATTTTTCTTTAAAAATCTAAGTACCACCTTAGCATCATTAGAAGGTAAGGCTATTGCTTCAACCCATTTAGAGACATAATCTATGCTAGCAAAATATAAATGTTCTTATAGCATAAGATGAAAGGCCCATAAAATGTGGCATTTCATGTCTCTTGGTTACATTCCTTACCTTTTGGCATCATCACAATGTGTGACAAATCCATATGCATCTTTAAATAGGGTAGGCCAATAGAAACCACATTGTAATACTATTGCTGTCGTATTTTCCCTTTCATAATGACCTTCATATTCAAAGAATGGCATTGTTGTAGGATGTTTTCCACCTCTTCCTTTGGGACATATCTTTTCAGTACTTGGTATTTACATTGCTTAAACAGAAAAAAAAAGGTCATCCCAGATATAGTATTTAACTAATGCAAAATTTTTTTCTTTTATTGATAATTCAAATGAGGTGGAAGGACATTACCTATAAGGTAGTTTACCAAGTTAGCATACTAAAGTGGTTTTGCAATGATGAAAAGTTACTCATCCAGAAAGAACTTTTCAATAGTTTTCTTATCAACAACTTCTCTTTTTATCCTTAACAAGTGATTTGCCACATAGTTTTCACAACATTTTTTTTTCTAATTCCTAAATCAAACTTTTATAACAGTAAGACCCATTTAATCAGTCTTGGCTTTGCATCTTTCTTTGTGATCAAGTATTTAACAGCAATAATGATTTGGATACATAATCACTTTTGTTCATAGCAAGCAAGATCTAAACTTTTCCAAAGCAAAGACTATAGCGAGCAACTTCTTTTTCATTGTGGTGTAATTAAGTTATGCATCATGAGGTTTTACTTGCATAGTAAATAGGGTGAAAGCTCTTGTCTTTCCTTTGTTCTAATATAGCTCTTATTGAAAAATCATTTGCATGACACATTAGCTCAAATGGTTGATTTCAATTAGGCCATGATAGGATGGGTGCATGACTAACTTTCTCTTAAGGCTTGAAAGGCTAGTACGCAGTCTTAATCGAATTCAAACTTGGCATCTTTCTTCAATAGCTTGCATAAGGGCTTAGAGATTTTAGAGAAATCATGGAGGAACTCATATATAAGCAAACATACCCCAGAAAACTCTTAATCTCTTTAATTGAAGTAGGTAAGGGAAATTTTTCAATGATGTTGATTTTTGCCCGATCAACTTTTATCCTTTTGCAGATACCTTGTATAATTCCTTTTTTTATCATGAAGTGACACCTTTTCTAAATGAGCACCAAATTAATTTTTTTTCATTTTTATAGTACCTTAGATAAGTTAGCAATGTGTAAGTTGTAATCATCACCAAAAACTACGAAGTCATCCATAAATACCTCCAAGATATCTTGTACCATGTCTGAAAAAATGACCATCATACATAGTTGGAATGTGGTTAGGGTGTTGCAAAAATTGAAAGGCATTATTCTAAAAGAGCAAATGTGCCATATATACAAGTGAAAGTTGTCTTTTCTTGGTTTTACAGAGCTACGACTATTTGATTGTACCTAGAGTGTCCATCAACTAAACAATAGTATTCATGACCGACCAACCTATCCAACATTAGGTCTATAAAAGGCAATGGAAAATAATCTTTGTAAGTTGCTTTGTTCAATATCCTGTAATCCATCTAATAACAGTTTGAGTTGGAATCAATTCATTATGCTCATTAGTGACTATTGTTATTCTTTTTTTTTTAAATACACTTGAACTAGACTTACCCATGAACTTTCGACATAGGATAAGTGATCCCGTCATCTAACCACTTGATAATTTCCTTTTTTACTACCTTCTTTATGGTAAGATTTAGAACCTTTTTTTGTTCAATCGTTGCATTGTGGTCATCTTTTAACCAGATTCTATGCATACATATGGTGGGGCTAATATTTTTTGACACTGCTAACAATTTATCCTTTTACTCTTTACTTAGGGCTATAGAGATGATGACCAAAATAGTGGATGCTTTGCAAAGGAATGCATATCTAAGGTGAGATGGTAAAGGCTTCAATTACAATGTTGGGGGTTCCTCAATGGATGGTTTAAGATTTTGAACAATCGATGATTCCATCTTGAAATTTTTTTCTTGGTTTAGAGCACATTGTTATGAGTTTGGCTTCTTTAAAATTTTCTAGTTTTCACCTTTTTAAAGGACTTTGTGTTGAATGTCTCCTCTTGATCATGCACCCCCTTAATGTCAGTTCCCTTTTTTGTATTCCAATATGGCCTTTTCAGTTTTCAAAAAGGGTTTTCCTAATATAACTGGCACTTTGATGTTTTCTTTCATGTCTAAAACTATGAAATCAGTAGGGAACATCAGTTTGCCTACTCATACTATCAAATCTTTTACTATGCCCTTAAGATGTCTAAGGGACCCATTGGCTAGTTGGATAATTATCATGGTTAGTTCAAGATCTCTTGTACCAATTTTCCTAAAAATAGATAAAGGCATTACATTAACACTTGCACCAATATCACATAAATCTTTTTTCAAAATATTGATTGCCAGTAGTGTAAGGATAGTAATATTCCTTAGATTTCTGAGTTTCGACGGTATTCCCTTTTGCAAAAGAGTACTATATTCTTAAGCTACTGCCACTATTTCATAGGTTCTCCCATTATCTCTATTAGACAAAATCCCTTTTAGAAATTTGGCATACTTAAGCATATTCTCTATGACCTTAGTAAAGGGAATGGTGTTTTTATAGGTTTTCAAAGATTTCAACAAACCTTGGCAGATTGCCTTTTTTTTTTTTTTGTCGCTAAAATCTTTGTGGAATGAGATTGCTAGGTTGGTCAATTTTGGAGGAATTCCTTCTGAAGAAGGCTCATTTTTCTTACCATTATCCACTATCATCTTTTTTTTTTTGGTTTTTTGGAAAGTCACTTTTCGAGTAACAGGCTACTCTGCTAAAGTCTTTCCACTTTTCAAACTTATTGCTACCAATTTTTATTAATTTAAGAGATTTTCAGCTAATTAGGTGATTTGTAGTTCTAGATTCTTAATGGTGTTAGCTTGATCTTGTAATATGGCTTTTTAGGACCTTTTTTTTAAAGAATGGGTGACTCTTCATAGCTTGGTTGATGTTGAACAAATTGTATTGTTTTTGTCCTAAATAGACATTTATCATTAAAGTGCGATCCATTACAAATATCATAGGAAACAAATGGATTTTGAATTGCATAGATAGGGTTAGTTTGGGATGGGGCTCCTAAAGTTTCTATTTTCTTGGTTAAAGTTGCCAACTGTGAATTTATGAAAGCAAATGTGTCTAACTCATAAATACCAACAAATTTCTTATGTTCCTATCTTTCCATACCCTATTTGTAATTATAGGTGGCTATCTTCTCAATCAATTCATGGGTCTCTTCAGCAGTTTTGCTCATAATAACTCCTCTAATAGCTTAATCTAAAGTGGTTCTTATGGATGGAGTAAAACCATGTAGAAGATCTGAATTTGCAGCCATTGGGGAAGACCATGGTGCGAACACTTACTCAATAGCTCTTTAAATCTTTCCCACGCGTCATAAAGATTTTCTCCATCTACTTGCATAAAAGTAGTGATTTCATTCCTCATCTTGGCAGTCTTGGTAGGTTGGAAAAAACTTCGTAAGAAACTTTTGCACTAAATCCTCCAAGTTGTAATTGATAATGACGGTAATGAAAATAGCCAACTTTTTGCCTGGTACTTGAAAGAAAAAGGAAAAAGTGTTAGTCATATTGCATCATCTGAAGCACCATTGTACTTAAAAGTATAACATAATTCTAAAAAATTAGATAAGTGCAAGTTAGGATAATCGCTTGGTAAACCTCCAAATTATAATAAGTTTGGGCCATTTAAATTATTGAAGGGTTTATCTCAAAGTTGTTTACTTGAATGGTTGGCCTTCATATGGATGGTTGGAAACCATCAGCATTACCTACTGCATAATCCCTCAATGTTCTTGTCCTTCATTGTTTGTATTCGCCATTGGTGTTGGTGTAAGTGGTGCTAATTACTCTTTTCTTCATCGTCTAAAAGTTCTTTCAATCTCTTAATCAATAGGAGTTAGTTCATCAATTTTAGATTTTGCGTATACAAACAAGAAAAGGTTAGAGCAAATAAAAGAAAATGAAAATAAACATTTAGATTATAAAAGAGTAGAGAATCCTTATTGATATTGAATCGAACATTGTTATAATCCTCAGTAATGGTGTTAAAAAAGTTGATTGCTTATTTTTGCAATGTCTGCAAGTGCACAGATCGAATCAAGTAATAAAGTAATAAGTATCAGAGTATCATCCTATAAGGATTATAGAATTGATTGTTGGCTGGATTCAAGTACCAAAGGTGATAATGTAAGTTTTTATATCTAAATGAATAAAAACTTAGGGTGATTTGCAAAACAAATAATGAAAGCAATAAAGAAATATTAGAGGCCTAAATCTTACTTAATCAACAATCACCTGGCAAGCAGTAGGATTGCGGCTGAAACTAATCTAAAAGATTGAACACTTAAAAATAATATAGAATAAGATTGTCGAAAAGTTTCTAGACAATAAAACCAATGAGAGTGAAAGCATAAAAGAAAGATTAAGGCAGAGTGCATGTACATCAAAATTTAGAATGCAAAAATAACAATGGCCGAAACTTGGAATCATTAAAGAAATAGTAAGATCGAATTTTGTAAAGAAAGAAAGCTTTGTAAAAAACTAGATTTTGAATGTAAGAATATTATGATTAAAAAAAGAGTTTAGAAAAAAACTTGTATTGGAAAATCTATCACCTAAGCCAATTACATGAAACTACAAGATTTGCCAATACAAGTTGTTTTTTTAACACTTAGATAACTTGCATCTTGAATGCTTGCATGCATGGATTGCATGAAAATCACATTTCATGGTCTTAAACCCTATAAGTCACAAAAATAGCATTGATAGTACCAAAATCCATCAAAATTTAAAAATTTGCACCTATTTTAACATGTAAAATCACTATAAATTTAGGTGCTATCAACATTAAAGTTTACAACTGGCTTCTGAGTAGGGTTTTCTACCATTGGACCAATCTTGTTTTCATAAAACATGGTCACTGGCTTTAGGATCAAAGCTGAAGTCATGTTTAATACGGATTCATTAATCACAATTCCAATGCAATCATCTCTCCACTCTTCATAAAACTCTATCTGAAAAGAATCTATTAACTTTTGCAACACATGTTGAAATTGATAACAATTCTTGATAGAATGTCCCATAACTCCCATGTGATACTTGCAGACCTGACTTGAATCATATTTTCCATAGTAGGTTTGTGGGTTTATAGGTCAAAGCATATTAGCTTTTAACAAAGCATCACAAACTTGAGCTAAAGGCATTTTAACTTCATCCACTCTTTGCTTAAAATAACAAGCTTTGTCGTCACTCAAGGCATTAATGGCTTCCCTAATATGGTTTGGCAATGAGTTTCCACTGACACTAGGCACTCTTTTTTTCTTTAAAACTAACCAATCCAACTTTGATCTGGCTTTGTACCTTGTATTTCAA